GAAGGAGAGGAGGTAGGCCAGGGGAAAGCACAGGGCGGGAATGGTCCTGCAGTGACGGGAGGGCAAAGGGACAAGCCGACCTTCCTTCCCTGGTTGTTTTCCGGTCCCAAGGCTGAAGACACGGCCTCGCCTGCCCAATGCCAGCTCTGGGCCCTGAGCGGTGACTGTCGAGGACTCCCCCAGGCAGCCATGCTGACGCCTCCCCAGGAAGCAGAGCTGGACATCCCTGGTGTGGACACCCGTGGGCCTGGTACTCGAGCCAACCCGGGCCAGTAGAATTCCCTGACCCTTAGAATCAGAAAACACTTTGCTATCAGCCCTGAAGAAGCAAATGTTAGAATTAGTGCCTTACAACAGAGGCGACAGAAGAATCAGTGCCCTTGGGGAAATGGGTAGAGACACAAATTCTTGGGCTCCAGAGCTCCTGGTTCAGATAGTCAAGCTATTGGGGAATGTGTTTGAACAAGCCCTCCAGGTGAGTGTACTGCAGACTCAAGTTTGAGAACCACTGCCCTAGAATGTGAGAGAATGAGGCCTGCTGGCTGGCTCCTTGCACAGAGGAGGAAACTGAAGCTGGAGAACAGCAGAAGCCGCTTGACTTAAGCTACACAAAATCAAGAGCCAGAGCTGGGCCTCCTGACACCCAGGGCTGTGATTCCCCTGAGCCTCCATACCCTTTTGATCGACGTGTTTCCCATTCCTTTTCTCCCACCCACAGAGGGGGTGACACCCCTGATGGCAGCAGTCTGCTGTGGGGCAGTGGAGTACAGGACTTTCCTGGAAAGCCCCGAGCCCTGGGCACCTCTGTTAGATGGAGGGGCCTGTCCCCAGGCTCACACCGCGGGCACGGGGGAGACCCCCCTGCACCTGGCTGCCCGATTCTCCCGACCGACTGCTGCCCGCCGCCTCCTTGAGTCTGGAGCCAACCCCAACCAGCCAGACAGAGCGGGGCGCACCCCTCTTCACACCGCTGTGGCTGCTGATGCCCGGGAGGTCTGCCAGGTCAGTGCACGCCGGGGTCCCTGAGAGAACAGGGAGCAAATGTGCAAGTAAGGCTGGGCAAAAGCCTCCTCTAGGGATGGCAAAGAGGAAGGTGATGTGAGCCTGGGGACCTGAAAGGGGAAAAGAGCAGGTGGCTGAACATGGATTGGGAGGTGGGTAGTGTGAGGGCCTGAGCTGCTGCCCAGGACATACCAGGGTGTATGTCTGGCCCCCCAGCTCCTACTCCGCCACAGACAGACGGCAGTGGATGCCAGGACGGTGGACGGGACCACGGCCCTGATGCTGGCCGCCAAGCTGGCAGTGGAGGACCTGGTTGAAGAACTGATTGCAGCCCAAGCAGATGTGGGGGCCAGAGATAAATGGGGTATGGATCTGGGCGTGTTGATTGCCACAGAGAAGTTGAGCAGTGGGGAAGTGAGGTAAATAGTGGGGGGCGGTCAGCAGAGGAACTGGGGGCGGGGGTTCCCTGGCAGCCCCTCGGGATGCACGTCCGCGGGCATTGGCTGGAAGGAGCACCAGCCTCCCCCATCCTCAACGCACACGCCCCCGCCCACTGTGCACCAGGATGGGAGGGTGCGGGGGGAGGGGGAGGCCTCCGGGTCCCACCGACCCCAGACAATGCCCCATTGTCCCTTCCGCGCGCCGGTGACGTCACCGGCAGTGCTTCCTGCCGCCGCCGTCACCCGGGCAACGCTTCCGCCCGGGGGGACCCAGACTCCACGGGCCTGAAGAGCCCTGCCCCCAAGGCCGGGATCCCTGGGAAACGGAACCGGCGCCCGGCGCCCGGCCCCCGCCTCAGGGTGACGCCCTCCCACGTCGTTCCCCAGGGAAAACCGCTCTGCACTGGGCCGCCGCCGTCAACAACGCGCGGGCCGCCCGCTCCCTTCTCCAGGCCGGAGCCGACAAAGACGCCCAGGACGGCAGGGTTAGGCCGGGCAGAGGGCTCCCCACACAGAAAAGGGGTGCGGAGAGGGGGGAAGCGCGGGAGCTCCCAAAGCCAGAGGGGGCGGGGCCGGCGGCCCGGTCGTGGAGCCACGAAGGGCGGGTCCCGGGGTGTGGCCCCCTGACCTCGCCCCCGGCTTCCCCCTCGCAGGAGCAGACGCCGCTGTTCCTGGCCGCCCGCGAGGGGGCGGCGGAGGTGGCCCAGCTGCTGCTGGGGCGGGGGGCGGCGCGAGCGCTGCGGGACCAGGCGGGACTGGCGCCCGGCGACGTCGCCCGTCAGCGCCACCACTGGGACCTGCTGGCGCTGCTGGAGGGGGCGGGGCCCGCGCACGCGCGTCACCAAGCCCCGCCGGGCCGAGCGGGCGCCTTCGCGCGTGCGCGGGCCGCCTCGGGAAGCGGGCGGCGGGGCGGGGCCGTGCCGCGCCACCGGACGCAGTCGGTGGGGGCAGCCCCGCGTGGGCGCGGAGCCGGTCTGCAGACCCGCACTTTGTCCGTGGACTTGGCCGCGCACGGGGGCGGGGCCCGCTCTCCGTGCCGAAGCCTCGCGAAAGGAGCTGGAGGAGGCCCGCCCCGCCGCGACCCTTCGTTCCCCGCGGGCACGCGTGGGCCGAGGCCCGGCCCCGCCGCCAGGCCAGGAAGATCCGGGGTCGCGACCTCCGCTGGCGGGCCCTGTGACTGGGTGTCCCTGGGAGCCTGCGGCCCCGCCCCCAGCTCGCGGAGCCCGCCTCCTTGCCTTACTCCGTCCCCGGAGCGCGGGTCGCCTCCCCTCGCCTGGGGCTCCCCAGCCCCCCCAGGAATACCCTCAAATGCAGGAAGCGAAGCCCAAAAGTAGGCGGCTAGTGGCCGGGTGGGATTCCAAAAGTGAGCTCCGTTAAATGCCCGCCTGGAAGCCTCCAGGTTTTAAAGTCCTCGGGCCCTAAAAGTAGGGGTCGGGAATATAGCGTCTCTCCCAAAACGAGTGCATGCCCACTCAACCGTCATCGTCTTCCACGTGGAGAAGATGCGGCCCTGCAGGGGTTAGGTGCTGAGATGGAGTGGGCCCAGGAGTGCGGGTGAGGGGCTACCGGAGGGGGGAGGGGGCTAGTACCCTGAGCTGGAACCACCCGCAGACGGGATGTAAGGTGTTCTTCCTGCACAGGATGTGGTTCCCGAAGGGAGCGTTTAATCACCCCCCACCACCTACAAACAGTTGACAAGTATCTGTTCAGCACCTGCTGTGCCAGGCATCGCAGGTGCTGGGTCGGGGGAGCACCAAGGGCCACTCCAGCTGATGACTCCTTGCATTCTCACCACTGCAGGGCTGAGGTGCCACTCTTCTAGCCGCTACTTTCTCTAAGAACCCCAAATCTGTCATCAGAGAATAAAGCTGGTATAAAGTGTTACCTCCTTTTGGAGGGTTTGAGGAGTGCAATGAAGAAAATATGGGAGTGACTACATTGTCTTCCAAATTTTGTGTCCCAAATTCAATATTTTTTGTTTTGTTTTTTAATATATTTTTATTGATTTCAGAGAGGAAGGGAGAGGGGAGAGATAGAAACATCAATGATGAGAATCATTGATCAGCTGCCTCCTACATGCCTCCCACTGGGGATCAAGCCTACAACCTGGGCATATGCCCTTGACCAGAATCGAACCTGGGACCCTTCAGTCTGCAGGCCGACATTCTATCCACCGAGTCAAACCGGCTAGGGCCCAAATTCAATATTTGGATGGAGACGTTCAGTATAGTTTAAGAGCAAGAATAAGACTTGGGGGCCCTATGCTAATTTAGGGTGTCATCTGAAAACAAGAGTGTAGTAGTCTGAAGAGAAGCCACCCATTACACCCTTTGCCCACCTTCCAAGGGCATTTAGTTCTAGCCACGTAGGAGCCTCCCGGGAGCTCAAGCTCGGCAGAGGCAGACAGAGACCATCTCAGTGTGATCCACCTTTCAGCAGCGTAGTTACACCTCTCATGGTGCTGATGGGCCCGAGACATGGAGGCTTGGGGCATTTTGAAAGCGGATACAAGCATACCCATCTTTGTGGGCTTCACTGTGTTGCGCTTCGCATGTAAGTGTTTTCATTAACATTGAAGCAAAGACCCTCTACCAACAAAGAGATTATGACTCACTGAAGACTCAGATGATGGTTGGAAATTTCTTAGCAATAAAGTATTTTTAAATTAAGGTATGGTTATTGTTTTTAAGACAATGCTGTTGCACAGTTAATAGACTACGGTATAGTTGTAAACATGCACCGGGGAGCCAGAACATCTGACTCACTTTATTGTGATAATCACTATTGTAGTGATCCGGAATCATCCTGCAATACCTCTGCAGTATGCCTTGTAATAACTACCATTTATTGAGCATTCACTGTACCAAATGCTTTATCACATCTAATCCTCACACCAACTGTGAGGTCTACCAAAACGGCTAGGTCCATTTTACTCTTAGAAACAGGCACAGATTTTTATCTGGCGAGGATGACAAGGCATTAAGTGGCAGAACCAGAGCTCTTCATCACATTTCGTGTTTGAAGTCACTCAGCTGTAAACCCCGTATTATGACAGGTTTCCATTTCCAGGCTCCAAATGTCTATCTGTCCTTCTAGCTTGGGGTGATCAGTGTGGACAGATCAATGACCAAGCCAGGGAGTTGGTCCTCTCCCTTCATCCCTCATTCATGACCAGAGGAAAGCCTTCCCTAACCATGTCTCACATTTGAGACACATCTTGTCCACTGAATAGACCAAACACCGAGAGGGCAGGGGTGACGACACTCGCTGTGTTGGACCAGTGCTGGGGGTATATGTATATGTCTGAGGGCCTGACATCCCTGGATCTGAGTCCTGCTGGAACCATGCCTGTCCCAATCCCAATCCCAATGGGGCTGGGAGCTGGGAAGCAGGGGAGGGCTGAATCCTACCCTCAGGGGACATCTTAGGGAGAGGAGAGACCTGGGGGTGAGGGCTCTGAGGAGTGAAACCACTTCCTGTGCAGCTAGTTCCTGTGTTGACAGAGCTGGAGGGGAGGGGGGGGAGGGAACAGAGTGGTGGGGTGGGGGTCTACTGAGGCTCTGGAGAGGGGAAGGCCAAGAGTTCTTGCCCACCTTGAAGCCCCTTTGCTCCTGCGGGAGGAGCTTTTCCCAGCCTCTGCTCCCCTGGGGAGAGAGGTTGAGCAGCAGTTTGGGTGGGAAAACAGAGCTGGAGGAAGTTGACAGGGATGGGCGGGGCCCATGGGGGCTGACCAGGAACCCAGCTTCCTGCTTAGTACCCAGACATCCAGCCCCTGGCTTGCCCCCACCCCTTCCAGCCCCCACTCCCCTCAGGAACTCGGGGTGCCGGCCCTCCTCCAAATCCCAGCTCCCCTCCCCCATCGGTTTCTCCCCTCCAGGGCATGGAGGCTGAGAGACCCCAGGAAGAAGAGGATGGTGAGCAGGTGAGCTGGCACCCGGTGGGGGAGGCTGGCCCTGGGAGAAAGGGAGGCGAGAGGACCTGAGGCAGAGACCTAGTGGCCGTGGACACAGGACTTGGAAGGGCTTGGGCACGCTGGGGGGAACAGAGACAGAGGAAGCGGCCGCTGGCCGCCCCTGCTTGACGAATGGGTGTCTCGGCGTCAGGGCCCCCCTCGGGATGAGCATGGCTGGCCCCCTGTAAACACCACCATTCGACCTTGGCGATCTGCTCCTCCATCCCCTCCTCCAGGGACCCGCCACACAGGTACCCCACCCATCCAGGGAGTTCCCTGACCCTGGTGCCTGCATCCTTCCTAATCCTGTGACCAGGGTCCACTCCATCGTGGCCCCTTCCCCACATCCTCTGGACTCCCCATTGTACCTCCTTACCTCTGACCACCAGCCCCTCATCACCTCACCCCGTCTGTCCCTGCCCAGGCCCCCACCCTGCCACCCTCTCTGAGCCCTCCCCCCCTCTCCCAGCCCTAGGACCCCGCTCGGCCTCCCTGCTCTCCCTGCAGACAGAGCTCCTTCTGGACCTAGTGGCCGAGGCCCAGTCCCGCCGCCTAGAGGAGCAGAGAGCTGCCTTCCACGTCCCCCAGGGTCCCCCAAACCTAGCCCCAGCCCCACCCCGGCCCCAGGAGGACAAAGAACAGCTCTACAGCACCATCCTCAGTCACCAGGTGAGGCACCCCACGCGCCAGGAGGCCAGACTCAGGTTTCCTGGTCTCCAGACCCTGTCCTCTCTGGGGCCCTATCCCTCCTCCTCCCCAGGCCCTGGCCCCCCATCCCAGTCACAGGTGTCCTGTATGCCCTGCATACCAGCCCTTCCAGGCCTGCTCCTCCGCCCTCGCCAACACCTTCCCATCCCTCCCTTCCTCCAGTGCCAGCGGATGGAAGCCCAGCGGTCAGAGCCTCCCCTGCCCCCCGGGGGGCAGGAGCTCCTGGAGTTGCTGCTGAGAGTTCAGGGTGGGGGTCGAATGGAGGAACAAAGGTCTCAGCCCCCCACTCACACCTGCTGAGACTTGAGCCCCCCACCGGCCCGCCCGCCCCACTCCGGGGCTCCCAGCGGGGCAGCCCGCCGCATACCCTCAACCCTGCTGGGCAGGGGCCCCGGAACTGGGCCCAGCAGACATCTCACTGTCCATCGCCCTGGCCCATGTGCCTGCGAACCGAGGGGGTGAAGGCCTCGCCCCTGGGAACAGGCAAGGTAGGAGGGTCCTCGAGGACCTCCCTGAGCCGGCGCTGGAGGCGGTGAGCACCCCGCGCCCAGGGGCACCGTCCCTCCCGTCATCCCAGGGAGCGGCTGCGGGGACCCCCAGACGTCAAGCCGCTCGGCAGGGTCTGAGGCCCCCACCTCCCAGGAAGACGCCTCGTCCCCCCAGGCTGCGACCCGGGGGGCAGGCCCGCCGTCCCGGCCAACGAGAGGGGGTGACGGACTGCGCGCTCCCCGGCGCCCGCCCCGCCCCGCCCCGGCCTGAAGTTCGGTTTGTGAATAAACGCGTTCCCTCCCGACTGGACTGGTGTCTGCGCTGCGGGCCGAGGGCGGCCGGGGCCGGAGGCCGCCTCCGGGTCTGGCCCGAGGCCAGCTCCCGCCCCGGCTGGTTAATTACCGGCTCATTAAGCAGCGGCGGGAGGCCTCCCTAATCACCCCGCCCTCCGGGTGTTAATTAAGTGGAACAGGGAGGGAGCCATTAGCACGAGAAATATGCACGGGCTGTCGGTGGACCCCGGCGCCCGGGGCCAGAGTCCGCGCCCCGGCCCCGCGCGCCCCGGCAGGCCGGCCACCCCGCCCGCGTCCGCTCCTCCCGCTCTCCCCACCCCCCTCCCCGCCTCCCCGGCTCCCTCCCCGCCTCCCCCTGCTCCCTCCTCCCGCTTCCCTCCCTCCCCTCTCATTGCCCTCCTCCCGCCGCGGTGCCGTCGCGTCTCCGCCCCCGGCTCCGCCCGCGCCCCGCCCTCCCGCGCCCTCCCCTCCCCCAGCTCCCTCGCCCTCCTCCCTCCTCCCTCTCGCTCACACACACCCCCGCCTGGGCCTCCTCTCTCTCCGGCTCCATTTTCTCCGCCGCCGGGGGCCGGGGTCTCCTGTGGGGGGCCCCGCCGGTACCCCAGGTCTCCCTTCAGAGCCGGGGTGAACCCCCGGGGGAGCCAGGAGACGGGGAGACGGGCGGGGGTCGGGGCGGAGGGAGCAGCGGCCCCGGCGAGTTTGGGGGGAAGTAACCCGGCGGGGGAGGGGCGGAACGGGGAGGGGGCCTCTGGGCCCCCCCCACCATGGACGAGCGGCTGCTGGGGCCGCCCCCTCCAGGCGGGGGCCGGGGGGGCCTGGGGCTGGTGGGTGCGGAGCCTGGGGGCCCTGGCGAGCCTCCCGGTGGCGGCGACCCCGGTGGGGGTGGCGGGGGGGTCCCGGGAGGCCGAGGGAAGCAAGACATCGGGGACATTCTGCAGCAGATAATGACCATCACGGACCAGAGCCTGGACGAGGCCCAGGCCAAGTGAGTGCCCCGCCCCCACCCCACACAGACCGGCCGAAGCCCAGTCACAAGCTCGGGCTCGGAACCCCCAACTCCAGGATCCCACAGCTCTCTCCTCCTTGCTCCCGGAACCCCCAGATAAGTGACTCCTCTCAAACCTTTCTTCACCCCCAGGCCCTGAAACCTTAAAGAGGGGAACCCCAGGTGGTCTCACCCCCTCTCCTAACCTCTCACTGACCCTCCAGCCCCCTGACCCACCCTTCCCTCTCCAGAGCCCCCTCTGGCTCCTCCCCTGACGCTCCACTCAGGCCACCCCTCCCCTGCAGACCGGGGGGGCCTCCACACCCCTCCCCAGAGTTCCTGCCTCTCCCCTCGGCCAGGGCCCAGCCTCCCTGTGTCCTCACCCACCCACCCCCACCCCACCCCCACCCTCAGCCCAGGACCCTCCACACACATCTCTGCTGATCCCTCCACTTTAGCTCGCACCCCTAACCCCTCTCTGGCACCTCAAACTGACTCTTCTCCCCAGTCTCCATCTCTTTTTCTGAAATCGACCTAGTCACCTTCATATCTGCAGTCACCCCCACACTCCCCCTCTGCACCCTAGACCGTCTCCCACAGCCCCCAGCTGCCCACGGGGCCTTCAGCCTGCTGCCCCCACCTTCCCTCTGTGGCCGGTGCCAAGCAGCTTCCCCACGTCCCCATTTTGGGAGCTGATCTCGCCCCAAGAACCCCACCCCCATCCACCCCCAGCCCCTTTCTACCCGCCTTCTTGTTCCCAGGCTCCCCCCACCCTCGTGGTCCCCCTGCACGTTCCTGTAGCTAAACTTTCCTCTCTTGTTCCTCCAAGGAAACATGCCCTGAACTGCCACCGAATGAAGCCAGCGCTCTTCAGCGTCCTGTGTGAGATCAAGGAGAAGACCGGTACGCGGGGAACCGTTCCCCATACGCTCAGGCCAAGAGTTAGACAGCGTGGAGCCCCGAGGAGAGTGGGGGTCAGAGAGGTGTCCGGGGTTACTGAGGAGGGAACCAAAGAAACTCGGGTCTCAGGAGGGCAGAGAACTGGGTGTGGGGGTCCCCGGGTCCCTAAGTCCACTCGCCCGCGCTAGGCCTCAGCATCCGAAGCTCCCAGGAGGAGGAGCCCGTGGACCCCCAGCTTATGCGCTTGGACAACATGCTTCTGGCAGAAGGTGTGGCTGGGCCTGAGAAAGGGGGGGGCTCCGCGGCGGCAGCTGCAGCCGCAGCAGCTTCCGGGGGCGGCGTGTCCCCTGACAACTCCATCGAACACTCGGACTATCGCAGCAAGCTCGCCCAGATCCGCCACATCTACCACTCCGAGCTGGAGAAGTATGAGCAGGTGAGGCGAGGCGGCTGGAGTGGGTGGCGGGGCTTCCTCGGGGGGACCCCAAGGCCAAAGGCTCCTCACAGCCCACCGGCCCCCCTGCAGGCATGCAACGAGTTCACGACCCACGTCATGAACCTGCTGAGGGAGCAGAGCCGCACGCGGCCCGTGGCGCCCAAGGAGATGGAGCGCATGGTGAGCATCATCCACCGGAAGTTCAGCGCCATCCAGATGCAGCTCAAGCAGAGCACCTGCGAGGCCGTCATGATCCTGCGCTCCCGGTTCCTGGATGCCAGGTGGGCCCAGGGGCCCAGGCTGCCCATCCCGGGCTCCTTCCCGTCCTCCAAGCCCCGGGCCATCCCCAGGGCCCCGGGAGCCTGCAGCAGAGACCCTGCTGGCCGGGCAGTCCTCACCGCCCTTCTCCCTCCTCTGTAGACGGAAACGCCGCAACTTCAGCAAACAGGCCACCGAGGTCCTAAATGAGTATTTCTATTCCCACCTGAGTAACCCGTATCCCAGTGAGGAGGCTAAGGAGGAGCTCGCCAAGAAGTGTGGCATCACCGTCTCTCAGGTACGGGAGGAGTTTCAGCAGGAAGCCGGTCCTGTGGACTGAGGGCCATACGGAGGGAAAGGTCTCCAGCTGACCCTCCTCTCTGCCCAACACCCCCCAGGTCTCCAACTGGTTTGGCAACAAGCGGATTCGCTATAAGAAAAACATCGGAAAGTTTCAAGAGGAGGCAAACATCTATGCCGTCAAGACCGCCGTGTCTGTCACCCAGGGGGGCCACAGCCGCACCAGCTCCCCGACACCCCCTTCCTCCGCAGGTGGAGCCCTCGGCCAGCCTGGCTGGCTGCTTTGCACACTTCCTGCTTTTGTTCCCACTTCCTGTCTAGGCAGGATCATAGGGTGGGGGCTTCTGGGGGTAACAGACCAAGCTGAGATGGGGTGGGGATGTCAGGGACACAGGCCACTCCAGCCGAGTTAGTCTTGCCTCTCGTCCAGCCGGTGGCCGGGAGGCTCAGAAGCTGGCCCTTGAAGCTGGTGTTGCCGTGTGGAATGTGTGCGCAGCGGCACCCCCCACAGGGCTAGTTCCAAGGGCTTTTAGGAAACGGTGGTGTGTCTGTCTGCCACACAGACTGTGTTCGTCCCTAATTCCTTCTCTGCTCCCCCAAGGCTCTGGCGGATCTTTCAACCTCTCAGGATCCGGAGACATGTTTCTGGGGATGCCCGGGCTCAACGGAGACTCCTACCCTGCCTCCCAGGTCAGATGCCCCTCTCCGAGCAGGGGAGCAGGTTCCCCGCCTTCAGCACGCCAGCGGTTCCTTCCGAGGCGTCTCACTGTCATGCCTGCCTTTGTGCCGTAGGTGGAATCACTCCGACACGCGATGGGCCCCGGGGGCTACGGAGATAGCCTCGGGGGAGGCCAGATGTACAGCCCCCGGGAAATGAGGGTGAGCGGACCCCTGCAGCCCCCCACCTCCCCAGCACCAGTGCCTTCCCGGCAGCACTGCCCCCACTAGGTTCAGAGCTTCACCCCAACTGTCTTCTTTCCAGGCGAACGGCGGCTGGCAGGAGGCTGTGACCCCGTCCTCAGTGACGTCCCCAACAGAGGGGCCAGGGAGCGTTCATTCCGACACTTCCAACTGATCTCACCCCTCGGCCACAGGGTGGGGGCTCAGAGGTGACTCTTGACGAGAGGACAAAGGCATCCAGAGGACAAGCCCCAGACACAGGAGAAGCACAAGAGAAGGGCAAATGGGGTCGCCCTACCCCAGCCGACTCAGTGCTGGGGTTGCTGAGTACATGGCAAGGAGAAGGGGGTCCCCTAAGGGGAAGGTGGGGTCTGTCTCCCCTTTTTTCCCTTCTTTTCAAGCTTTTTCTCTCCCCATTTCTCACACAGAAACACACCCAGAATCCTATCTTTCAGGTCCTCTCTCATAGACACATACACGACTATTCTGTTTCTCTTCCTCTTTCTCTTTTTTTCTCTCTCTCTCTGGGTTCACCCATTCTTCCTCCCCCACCCCTTATCTGCTCTGGGATCTGTGGAGACGCCAGCCTTGCCCTACCTACCAGAGATGCCAAAAATGGGGACACAACTTCTGGACAGATGACCTGGCCACACCCCAGGCCTCCCCCCTCCCCCTCCAGACGGCTTTATTACCTCATATGCAGCTCATCTTAAACCAATAGAATTGCTCGGTGAACGAGAGTGTCTGACTCAGATATCTACCTCGAGGGAGTTTCTGCTACTTTAGGGAATTGGGAATTGTTAACTGGGTGTGGGGTTTGAACCTTCTTTTTTAGGGAAGAAAAAATCCCTGGGATCCATCTGTATTTTGGGGGTGTTTTGTTGTTGGTTCTTCATTTTTAATTGAGTTTGGGGAAGTAGATGTTTTTATATGTTGATTTCTTTTTATCTTAATTACTGGCTTTCCCATATTAGGGGTGATAGTGAAAGGGGTTATGATAAGAGAAAGGGGAGCCAGCAGAAGGCCCGGCTGGCTCCTGTCCACGGAAGTCATGGAGCAGGGCGCCACGCCCGCCCCCCAGATCACTTAGGTCCCCTCCTCTGTTTTAAAACCCCAGGAGTTCTCTGCTGCTGAGGCAGCTCCTGCTGCCCGTGGTGGGGAGGCAGCTGGGCGCTTGCGTGGTGGCCTGTTCTCCCTCCTCGCTCAACCCTTGGGCAGGGCTGGGCACAGTCACTTGGAGGCAGTGCCACCTTCCCCTGTGACATGTCTTTTTTTTTTTTTAACTATGCAGGTTGGAGGGGAGAAGGGGGAAGGGTTATTGTGAAATAAGTATGGGTTGGGATGCTTGTGTATGTATCTCCCTCAATTCCCCAGAAATGAGGTATCTTTGTTCTCAGTCCAAAATCATGAGGGTAGGGAGAGGACAGAGGCTGCAAAAAGCCAGGTCCAGAGGAAGTCCAGTCACTGCTGCCCCATCCTTGGCCCTGAACCCCTCCAACATCGCCAGGATTTCACAGACTGTCACCGTGGGAACCCCTCCCGGCAAAGACCCAGCAGGACTGTGGGCAGGTTGGGACTGATGGGTGGGGGGCGGGAGGCACGGCACGGGTTTGGGCAGTTCTCTCCTCACTTGTAAACTTATAGTTTCGCAGGAAAAAAAAAAAAAAAAAAAGCAGTTTTAAATAAAGAAATTTTCCCCCTGGGTTTAGTTGAGAATTATTTTCAAAAACAAGAAACCCCAGGAAGAAAGTATTTTTCTCTTCATAAAAGCACAAAAGGCTTTTCCCTGAGTCTACCAGCCTTGCCCTCACCACCCAGGCCCCAAGTTTCAGCCGGGCCTCTGCCATGGGAGACGGCCTGGCCTGAACCGTTTGGCCTGGCAACCTTGTGTCTGAAGATGGGCTCCAGTGGCCCACCAGGTAGCCCTCGGCAGACTGATGGTCAGGTTGGGGGTCCCGAGGGCCTGAGAGGCCCTAAAAGATGCACTCCCCACCCCCACGAATGTGGCAGTGCCAGGGGTGGGGTGATCACTGTTTCTAGTATCTGAAGGACTCTTATCCGAGAGTCATGAATTCCTAGCATTCCCTGTGCCAGGACAGGACCGGGAGATGGGGGCAGGGGAGAGGGTACAAGCCCCACCTAGGGCAGTGGCCACAGCAGCGAGAGGCAGACAGCCAGGAGCCTGGACAGGAGGCAGGATGGCGGCAGGGGCGACGGCTGGAGCCTGGGTGCTGGTCCTCGGTCTGTGGGGTGAGCCACTGCCCCCACCTGTGGAAGGCGCTTGGCCCCTCCCAGGTCTTCCCCGGACCCTCACACTCCCCCAGTTCCCTTGCCCACCCTGTGCCAGTCTCACCAGCCCGCCTCCCTCCAGCCCCTCCACCTTGCTGCCCTCTCCCAGGGACAGTGGCAGGCTGTCAAAACGTCACAGCCCTGATCGGGAAGCCGCTGGTGCTCAAGTGTAAGGGTGCTCCCAGGAAGCCACCCCAGCAGCTGGAATGGAAACTGGTAAGTGGGGCTCCGGGCACAGCCTCCCCAGCTCCAGCCTCAGGATCCTTCCCCAAAGGGCATGCGTGACGCAGGCCTCTCCTCTGTCCCCAGCACACAGGCAGGACAGAAGCCTGGAAGGTCCTGTCTCCCCAGGGAAGCCCCTGGGACAGCGTGGCTCGAGTCCTCCCCAATGGCTCCCTCCTCCTGCCGGCTGTGGGGATCCCGGATGAGGGGACTTTCCGGTGCCGGGCCATGAGCCGGAAAGGAAAGGAGATCAAGTCCAACTACCAAGTCCGAGTCTACCGTAAGGGCTCCAGGGCTCCCCCAAGGCCCACCCCTCATTTAAGGAAGAGCCTTCACCCCCAGCCCTCGACTCCTTGGCTGGCCCTGGTGGTGGGAGTCTTCAAAGCCCCAGCTTTTGATGGGAGTTTTCCCTCCTCAGAGATCCCTGGGAAGCCAGAAATTGTCGATCCCGCCTCGGAACTCAAGGCTGGTGTCCCCAATAAGGTAGCGGAAGAAAGGGGAGCAGAGTGGTCCTGAGAATGGGACGGGTAGCCGGGGACGTGCGTGTGGCGTCTCTTTCAAAGCTGATAAGGTCACTCTTTCCCCAGGTGGGGACATGTGTGTCTGAGGGGGGCTACCCTGCAGGGACTCTTAGCTGGCACTTAGACGGGAAGCCCCTGATACCTGATGGCAAAGGTGAGTCCCAAGCTTCCCCTCCCAGCTGCCTTTTTCTGATCCCTCCCCCACACACCCTGGGACACCTGCCTCTCCCTCCACCTTAGGCGTGTCTGTGAAGGAAGAGACCAGGCGACACCCTGAGACAGGGCTTTTCACACTCCAGTCAGAGCTGACGGTGACCCCAGCGCAGGGGGGAGCACCCCACCCCTCCTTCTCCTGTAGCTTCAGCCCCGGCCGTCCCCGGCGCAGAGCCCTGCACACAGCCCCCATCCAGCTCAGCGTCCAGGGCGAGCCCAGAGGTGGGTGAGTACCTTCTGAAAGTATGGCCACCGGGCTGCACAGCGGTGTAACTCTCAGCCTCATGCCTCCCCAGCCCCGGAGCCTGTGCCTCCAGAGGTCCAACTGGTGGTGGAGCCGGAAGGCGGAGCAGTGGCTCCTGGTGGTACTGTGACCCTGACCTGTGAAGCCTCCTCCCAGCCCCCTCCTCAAATCCACTGGGTCAAGGACGTGAGTGACCTGGGGAGGGGCTGGGAGGCAGAGATGTAACTGGCAACCGGGAGGGCAGGGAGCGCATGCAGAGGCCGGCAAGGAGCTGGGGAAGAAGACAGGGTATCTGAGGATGTGGACCGAGATAGGCTAGGAGATGCATGGACTTGGGTTGTAATAGCCTCCTGTCCACCTCCCCCCATCCAGGGCACCCCCCTGCCCCTTCCCCCAAGTCCAGTGCTGCTCCTCCCTGAGGTAGGGCCTCAGGATCAAGGAACCTACAGCTGTGTGGCCACCCACCCCAGCCACGGGCCCCAGGAGAGCCGTGCTGTCAGCATCAGCATCATCGGTGAGGAGACCTCTCCCCACACACCCAGGGGCCTGTGCAGGCTCCAGTTACCTACCCCATTCTGGCACTGTCCCCCAGAGCCACCCTCCTCCGCCCTCAGTGCACCCACACCCAGGCCTCGGCTTACCCCCCCAAACCCTACCAAGAGAGCAGCCCAGCCTGTCCCCTCCCGACTCTGAGCTAAAAAAAGGAAACACTCCGGGAGCCCTCCCAGCCTGACGCCTTCCTTTCTGACTTTCTCTGACTCTGTTTCCAGAAACAGGCGAGGAGGGGCCAACTGCAGGTGAGGGGCTGGAGCAGGTCAGAGGAGCAGACACACCCCAATGTGAGTGGGGGAACAGTCAACAAGAAAGGAGGGTGGGGCTGGGCCCTCAACCTCCCCTTTCCCTACAGGCTCTGTGGGAGGGCCTGGGCTGGGAACTATAGCCCTGGCCCTGGGGATCCTGGGAGGCCTGGGGGCAGCCGCCCTGCTCATTGGGGTCATCGTGTGGCAAAGGCGCCGCCGCCGAGGAGAGGAGAGGTGAGTGGAGGAAGCTGGACACCTGGTCTTGGGCTTCCAGGCAGCAAGGGGGGAGGGGGGCGGAGAGTGCAGGGCCATGTGCAGAGCTCTCCCCACGCCTCCTCCCCAGGAAGGCCCCAGAAAACCGGGAGGAGGAGGAGGAGCGGGCAGAGCTCCGTCAGTCCCAGGAGCCCGATGCCGCCGAGAGCAGCGCAGGAGGGCCTTGAGGGGCCCTGGCCACCCCACCCCTCAGTTCCCTTTTCTTTTCCCTACACTGTTTTGGCCCCAGACCATTTCTCCCTTGTATAACCTCTACTCACCTCACCTAACTCCCTTTCACAACCAGAGCCTCCCACAAATAGCGATGAGTAAACACCTGACATAACCTTGCTCCCTTTGCTCTTGTGTGTGTGTGTGAGAGAGAGAGAGAGAAACCCTCACTCCCTACAGCCCTGAGGACATCCCCACACCACACCAACACCCACCCAAAGTGGGGGATGTTCCGGACGGGGAGGAAGGGGAGGAAGGGGAGGAAGGGGAGGATGGGGAGGAAGGGGAGGAAGGCAAAGGTGCGCAGAGTTCCCATCAATACATCTCAGCTTGTTTATTGAGTCTGTGATAAAGAAGTCAGTGAGGAGAAGGGAGCATTGAGTCAGAACCCACAGTAGGTACTGGGGAGAGAAAATTAAATTAAATCAAGGGAGAAGTTGGGGAGAGTCAGAGGGAGCCTTGCCCACCTTTCAAAATCAAATCAAGAAATGGGAACGCACAGGATGAGGAAGGAGAAACAGACCTTCTCTTCAGCCCCCTCCTCTCCCAGCGCTGGGAGGTGCTGCTGCGGGTGAGTGCGAGTGCGTGCACAGTCGGAGGATGCTTCTCCGTCCTGTGGCCCTCTGCGCAGATGCACTCCTCACACACCCACCTGGAGAGTGGCCAGCAGAAGTGGAGGGGCTGGGGGGAGGGCCCAGGAGTGAGGAAGGGTCAGCAGGGACCCCCAATACTGATTCTCCTCTGGCTGGAGGTGGGCAGAAAGGAGACATGGCTCAAATACTGAGCAGCCAGAAAAAGAAGAAAATGGCGAGAAACAGGAAGAGGGAGTCCTGCCAGCTGGAGGCCGGGTGACCCTGTCCCAGATCCACACCTGGAGGAGAAAGGAAAGCTGTGGCAGAAGCATCCACTCCGGGGCCAGGAGGGGCTTGAGGGGATTGGGGGGGGGGGGGCTCCCTGGCAGAGGCTGAGGGATGGCTCTTACCTGCACCCCGGCGGAACGGCTCATGGGTATTGAAGACAGTGGTGAAAAATCCAAAGGGAAAAGCACCCACACCGAATGAGAAGTGAAAGGCCCCGGTATCGCCGAATGGCTGGAAGCCCTACGGAGGCAGAGAACGTCAGGGTGGGCTGCGCGAGGCCTTAGCAAGGGCGGACACCATCAGACCAGACTCACCCCTCTGCTCTCGGGAGCTGGCCGCTGGCCCTGGGGGCGGGGTGGGGTTTTCAATCTGAGGAAGAAGAGAGGGCCATCACCAGGACATGCCTCCACCTCCACACCCCCTTCCAGGGAGGAAGGCTCCCCTTCCCGCAGCACCTCCTCTCTCACCTGGGGTCCTGGGGCTTCTGGCTCCCTCGCCCATAGAGGGGGACAACCTTTTCTCGGCTGATGCCAGCTTTACACACTGGGCACTCTTGCCGCTCTGGCCGTGTCTCCAGCCACTGGGGGGAAAAATGAAGTCGTTGCCAGTATACAGCAGGTCCTCCAGCTCCTCAGACCTCCCCATCTCCCTCTTCATCTCTTCCGAGTACGCACCTGATGAAGACAGGGCCAACTGGATGGGGGGAAAAAAAAGGTCAAACTAGCTACAGGAAAGGGAGACACAGACCCGACCTCAGGGTCCCCCTAACGCCCAATTCCCAGGTACCACCCGCTGTGTCTTTTCATATTGTCTGCCGCCTCCACCATGCCAGCCAACCTGGCCTTCCTGCTTTTCTAATCTCCCAGCACAAAGTTCCATCCATCCTCAAAACGCTTACCCGCCGCCCCCCCCCCCCCCCCACACACACACACACACTCATTCCCTCCCTTCTCCTTTTGACTTAACTTTCAATTATTTCCAACAACCCCTTTCCAGGTCTCCTCCTTCAGTCCCAGCCCCATCCTTGCCCACATCCATCACTCCCAAACCTAACCTCCTAACTAGCACCACCCGCCCCACTCCTTTTCCTCTCTTCCAGGCACATCAAGCCCCGATTGCCACAATCCTGCAACCTCTTAGGACCGTCCCTCCAAGTGCCCTTGTCCCCCGGGCACCCCGCCCCTGACAGAGCTCACCCGAAAGTGGTCCCGCATTCCCCAGCTCTCCCCCACTCAGCTAACGCCTCCCCTGTCCGCTGGGTCTAATGCGTCCCCGCCTGCATGGCTAGGGCCCCTCTCTCAGCTGGGGTAAGGTGGCTCGGGTCGCCCCTATACAGATGGGCGCCGTCCACCCTCCCCCCGTTTCTCCGAAACACACCATCGCTCCAGCTCCCAGCTCCTGTGCCTCCGCTGGTCACAGGTCTGTTCGTACAGACGTGACCCTCCCACCCTCACACACCCGGAAAGACCGGGCTCACCCATGGGGCTGTGCCTTCCGATTACCCGTATGATGCGTGACCCCAGCCTCCCCTGTACGGAGGTGAGCCCCACTCCTCTCGCCCGCTCCCCGGTTCTCACCAGTACAGGTGGCCACACATACTGATCACAGCCTCCCGAGCCGTCTCCAGACAGATGTTACATTCGAAGGTCGCGCCCGCCCCGCCCCGCTCGCAGTTTGGCCCTTCGGGGCCCCCATGCTCCTCCTCCGCTGCTGCCATGGCCCGTTCGGTGTCGCCCCCACGCACCCCGAAGTCCCCGCAAACACACAAATACAAGCCCCAACAAACAAGAAACCGCCTCCCGCTCACGATCGTTGGGGAGGCTTCAAGGTTTTTTAATCACGATTGGTCTGAGCGCCTGCCAATCACACAGGATGCACCCTAAAGGATTGGTCCAGAGGCCGGGGAGGAAGAGGTTGGCGCGGCCCTGCCCTTGCACTATGACTATTGGCTCTCGCAGTCGCCGTCGCCGTCGCGGGCGTGCTCTGCCATTCGCCCGTCGCCGGGCCAGGGAAGCTTTATTCGTCTGGGCAGCTGCCAGTCATATCCCAAGGCCAGAAGCAATTGGTTCGGAACTGCCCTTGCTTTCCTTTACTTCCTCTTTCACAGAAGGTCCGGATTCCTATTGGGCTTTGGAGCGTATGACTCCAAAGCAATTGACTGGCTGGACTCGACAGAGAATGGTGGTCAGGCAGTGCGCGTGCGCAGCAGGCGGGAAGGGGTGGACCAATCCCGTGAGCGCCGAGCTTTCTCTGGGCCCACCCTGCACCTCTATCTCGTCGTCATGGTGACTGCTCTACAATTGGCTGGGTTCGGGTTCAAAGGATTCGGCTCGGCCTCCTCGGAGTCCTCGGGTTGTGGCATCTCTCGCCCGATTGGCCCGTTTCCTGAACCCCTAATTGGCCGAGATCGGAAGAGACAGCAAAGAGCTCGGGGAAAAGGGCAAAACTAGGGTCGCAGGGTTCAAAATGGCTCCGGCCTCCTTCGGTGACGTAGGGAGCAAAACTTGGGGCCGCCCCTCCCTCTCGGTGAAGGATGGGGAACTGGCCTTAGCCCGACGCCGGGATGGTGCGAGCCTCGACCGGCGGCGCTGGTGTTAACCGCCCCCCGCGGCTGGACGCAGCCCGCCCTGCAGGTGCTTACGGGGCAGAACCGAACTAAGCCAACCCCGTTTAAAGTGAGCGGTAGAGCAGAGTCGACCTCCACTCCCTTTTAAACCCCCGCAGCGAACATGCCCAGCTCCACCCCTCCTTAAGGCGACCGTAGGCCCGCCCCTTCCTCCGAGTGCGATGCCCCGGGAGCTGGGGTCCCCCCGGGCTGGACCCCCGGGGCCGGGCACGCGGCTTCCGAGCGGGGGCCCCTGGCGCGAGCGCGGGCCTTTGTTCCGCAGTCAGTGACCCCCCTGCGGCCGAGGAGCAGCCGTAGGTAACACCCGGGGCCAGAGCCCCGACATCGTCCTCGGGCGTGTGAACGCTCTCGGCGAAGGTGGGGCGGGGCGGGCAGGCATCTGATAAATGCCGGGGAGGTGGCGGTTCAAGAGTTCGGTAGCGGGTTAGGGAAAGGTTGCCGGAAAGAAGAGGTGGAGGCCAAGGAAGAAGCAGGGATAGAAGGATCCTGGTAAAGGGGTTGTGGGGAACACGGGCGGGGACCGCGCTACGTACGCGGCTTCACAACTCCGGAGGCGTGCCTGTCCCGGGGAGATCAGCATCCCCCCCCCCCCCGAAAAAGCGGCCCCAATGCCCAATGTCCGCTTTAGGAACAGGCGCGCCCGGCTCTGTGCTGGGGAGGGGGTCGGCGCGGGAGGAGGCCGACAGGGAGGCACTAGGGAAGGTGCGGAGGCTGAGGGGCCTGCGAGGCCGGGAGGGGGCGGGGGGGAGGGGGCGGCGAGGGACGAAGGGGGACCGGACTGCGGGCCGGAGGGCCGGGGGAGGGCCGGGGTGCTTGGCATCCGGTGGGCGCCAGCTCAGTGTGGGAACTGAACGGGGGACGGGAAGAGGGGTCTTAGGAGTTGGAGGGAATAAGCTGCAGACAAGGGAGCTGAGGAGGAAGGAAGCAGCCGAGAGGGGTGGAGGAGAGCGGTGGGAGCGGGAGGACCGGCAGCCGCTGCCGAGCGGACGGAGGGAAGGGATGCTGCAGGCAGCGCCCCGCCCGGCCCGGCCCAGCCCCGAGCCACAGCGAGAGGAGCCGCCCGGGGGCCGGGGAGGCGATTGGCGGGCCGGGCCGCTCATCACCGCCCCCCGCTTCCTGACCAGCCCCGGAAGCCGGCGGGCGCGGGGGGCGGGGGGCAGCGGCAGCGGCAGCCCAGCCCTCCGAGACGGCAGGAAGGGTGGGAGGGAGCCGGGGACAACCCCCTCCGTTCCTACCGCCATGGGCCCTGCCTCCCACTCGCACCTCCCCTCCATCGGCCGGGGCTAGGAGACCCCCAAGTCCTGTCGCCCCCTTGGCACCGACACCCCGAACGAGGCAGAGACACAGCCACCCGCCACCACCGCTGCCGCAGCCTGGCCGGGGAGGGGGCCAGCCCCCAGGCTCTCCTCCCCGCTGAGGTGGGGCAGGAGCGGGGAGGGAGGAGGAGGGGAGGGTGCGGGGCTGGGGGGCGGGCTGGGGAGAGGGCTCTGGGGAAGGAGAGGGGACCTGAGGGGGAGGAAGAATGGGGGCTGGAGGGAGAACGGAGACCCCGCGAGCTGCGGGGCGGGTGTGGAGGGGACCCCTGGGCGGGGATTCCTGCCCCTTCCCATCCCCGGCTCCTCTCCGTGCCCTTTGGCCCCACCTGATCCTGGGAGGCCGGGCCGGGAGGAGGCTGCTCACGGCAGGATGCGCTTCCCAGGAACGCCCCGCTGGCCGCCGCTCGGCCTCCATCTAGGCACAGGGCCTCTTGTTTCCCGCGGCCTCCGCGCTGCTCGCCCTCCTGACACTTGGCTGTTTTCTGTGTCGAATCTGTGTACCTTGCACATAATGGCTTGTGTGCAGCTAGGTTGCCCTATGCTACCCACGGGCTGTGAAGAAATGATGTTATTTCCCATCAGAATTGCCCATTCGCATCTTACGTCCATGTCTCCCGTCTAGTCCCGCCATGCTCAGGTGTGTGAGTTTTCGTATCCATATGCATCTATTATGGGCTTCCTGTTTCTTGCACATAAACTTTTGCGTGTAGAGACGATACCTTGTTTTGGGGGCTCCTGTGTTCCGTCCGTGTTCCCATCACATGCAGCGGTCTTCATGTGCGGGTCCGTGGCTTCCCTGATGAGCACACGCTCTTTCCATGATTCGGTTGGCCCCTTTGCCGAGTATATTTTCCCAGTCAGGGTTCACTCTACACATATGCGTGCTCCTTCACATGATACGCTGATGTGACATGTCCAACATGCCTATGGTTACACGTACTGTTCATTATTTCTTAATTTTATGGGCCTTGTGTTTTGGGAGTCAAGTGCTCATTAACCCATTTGGCGCTCTATTGTGTTTATAAATCCTTGGATGTTTCTGCTCCAGAGAGGATCACATATTACTAGTGCATGCGAGAGCGGGTACCTGGGCCTCCACCTCCCCAAAGAACCAGGCCCAGGTGCCTCACCTCGCTGACGTCTCCGGCCTGTGCCTCTTCCCGCACACGATCCCTCCGTGGCCGTGGCCGTGGCCGTGTGCGCCGGTCCGCGGAGCTCAGTGTGTGCCCTGGGCCAGCCCTGCTGTGCGCATGGCCGGTGCGCCGCTCGGCACCGTGGCATGTGTTTGATGACAGCAGCCTGAGAACCCCGTTCTGTACGTGTCTCTCGTGTGTGATGGTATGTGCCATCCTGCTTGTTGCCGCTCTGCTTTCACTGTGGCCGTGCATCACGTGTACGCTCAGAGTCGGTTACTGTTAGGCTCCGTGCGTTCACTGCTTTCTCGGTGACGTCTTGTCGTCGCTGATATCCTCAAGAGGGTAGCTAGCTTCCTCGCGCTCAGGCCGGGCATCTGTCATTATTACGGTTGTGTGGGTGTGTGTGCAGCCTAATGGTGTGCTCAGCAAATGTTTATGAGTGCCTTCTCTGTTCCTTCTGCCTGGGCACTGGGGATAAGACAGTCCCTGTCCTCAAGCTGCTTATACACTGGAGAGGGAAAAGAAATGCCAGTGAGCAGTTAGACACAGTGGTGTCAAGATCAGTGGTTCTCAAACTCACCTGGAAGGCCTGTTAAAACACAGCTTCATGGGCCCAACACCCAGCATTTCTGATCCAGGAGATCCGGGGTGAAGTCCAAGAAGTTGCATTTCCACACTTTGAGAACCAGTGATTAAGATCAAAGTGTAATGAAAAGTCAGGCCTAGTGGGCTTCAGAAAGACCTCCAAAATGTGACACTGAGCTGCGTGAGGCGGGTGAAGGGGTGGAAGGGCGTTCCAGCCAAAAGGAACAGCATGTACAAGGCACAGAAGCCTGAAAGGTCCTGGTGTGTCTGAGGAACTGAAGTAAATCAGTTTGGAGTAAAAGGCATTTGTGGGCGTGTGGCCGAAGAAGTAAGCAGAAGTCAACTTGTCAAGAAGGGCCTTTAGGCAAGACAGGAAAAAGCCCAGATTTGTGTTACAGAAGAATCTCTGGTTGCCATGAGGAAGAGGGATTGAAGAGGAAGAGTTAGGAGCCTGTTGCAAAAGGCCAGATGAGAAACGCTGCTCCAAGCCTGCAGGGGCGGTGGGACGGGTGGCTCGGAAGCCTACCCTTTCAGAGCTGGCCGTCTCCTTCCCTGTTGCCTGTTACCTTCGCTCTTGGCAGTGGGCTTGCCTTTGAGCACAGCCCTTTCTGTCATTGGAAGGCAGTGTCTTTGGCCTTGATAGTATTTACCTGAACACTGTTTTTGTGAATTGGGACCCTGCCCCCAGCAGTGGGACAGCGGAGTGGAGGAAGAAGGAAGAGCCTAGAAGGCAGGTTCTGGGCGCCCGTCCGACTTCCTCTTCCAGGGATGGTGGCGTGATGTCCCTTTTACTCTGCCCTTTTTTCACTTGGTGAGACCTTACCTCTGTACATGCCTGGCCAGACTGCTTGCAGGAAGGGAGGAAAGGAGTGGTGGGATTCATTTGTCTGTCTGTGGAGGTAGGATTGATGGATGTAGTTACTCCTGGTGCGTCCATGGCTTTATCTGGAATGGGAGGCCGTGTGGGTGGAGAGGAATATTCTAGGTATGCATTTCCAGTCCTTCCTCTGTCACTGGGTAGGATTATAAATTTGTGTGTGTGTGTGCCGGTCCGTCTTGTGTGTGTGTGTGTGCCGGTCCGTCTTGTGTGTCTGTTTGCCTGCGTGACAGAGCCTTTATTCTTGTCAGCCAGCCCTTGAGAATGTCTGTGGGTGTTTGGTGACTCTCGCTGTATCTGCTGTGTGTGCACCTATGTGATATGCACACAGATGGCAGTGGAGCTGAGGGGCTAGGGGCACAAGGCTGCTTAGGTTGAGGCTAGGAAGTGCATCTTAGGTGCCATATATTACCTCAGGTAAGTTACTTAACTTTTCTAGGCCTGTTTCCTATAAAATGTAAATTTTGTGGTTTAACATAGTGTATAGTATATATAAACCAGCCCTGTCTAACACAAATATAATGCATGCCACATATATGTAATCTTTAATTTTTCTTTTTTAATCCTCACTGAGGATATTTTTTCCATTTATTTTTTTAGAGAGAGTGGAGGGGAAGGAGAAGGCAGGGAGGAGAGAGAGAGAGAAACATCAATGTGAGAGAGACACATCGATTGGTTGCCTCCTGCACATGCTCCAACCGGGGTTCAAGCCTGCAACCAAGGCATGTGCCCCTGACCGGGAATCAAACTCATTACCCTTTGGTCCACGGGCCGATGCTCTAACCACTGAGCACCCGGCCAGGGCTGTAATTTTTAATTTTTTGGTAGCTACATTGAGAAAGGTAAGAAGTAACAGGGTGAAATTAATTTTAATATATTCTATTGAACACAAAAGCTTGTAATTGCAAAATGTAATCAATATAAAAGGTTATTAATGGAATATTTTACATTCTGTTTTTCATTCGAAGTTTTTTGAGATCTGATATGCATTTTACATTTCCGGACGTCTCAGTCTGGACTAGGCACAGTGCACGTGCTCAGTGGCCATATGTGGCTGGTGGCTGGTGGCTGCTGGATGGACAGCGCAGGCGTAGACCCTCACCAGCTACTAGTGTTAGCTCTCCTCCTATTGTCCTTTTATCATCACACATCTGCTTCTTGCGGAAGCACATGCCTCATATCTCTTGTGCATCTGAAGATATCTGGGCCTTCAGAGAGAGGGCGGGAGGCCAGTCCCGAGCTCCCCTGTCCCAGCTAGAGGCTCCCTGCATGGGTTTCGATGGGAGCCCTGGCCCCATCTTGTCTCCTGCCTTCTGCACCTCACCCGCCCGCCCCCCTCCAGGAATCAGGCCCACTGTCCCTCGCCCCAATCCCTGCAGGTGACCAGAATGGACCTGTGGCCAGGGGCATGGACGGTGCTGCTGCTGCTCTTCCTACTGCTGCTCTTCCTGCTGCCCACGCTGTGGTTCTGCAGCCCCAGTGCCAAGTACTTCTTCAAGATGGCCTTCTACAACGGCTGGATCCTCTTCCTGGCTGTGCTCGCCATCCCCGTGTGTGCCGTGCGAGGACGCAATGTCGAGAACATGAAGTGAGGGCCAAGGGGTGCTGGGTGCTGAGGGAACCTAAGGGTCGGAGCAGTGTTTGGGGAGGACATGGGTGTGTAGGAGAGACTGAAAGAGTCCAGGGACAGGAAGGGGGAGGATTGCCAAGATGCGGGAAAGAGGGGAGCTGAGGCAGGCAGGCTGGCGTCAGTGGATCCCCCTGGAACCGCCTGCCGTGACACCCCCTAGGATCTTGCGTCTGATGCTGCTCCACATCAAGTACCTGTACGGGATCCGCGTGGAGGTCCGTGGGGCTCACCACTTCCCTCCCTCACAGCCCTACGTCGTGGTCTCCAACCACCAGAGCTCCCTCGACCTGCTTGGTGAGACCTCCTAAAACACACCTCCCCCAGCCATGCCCTTCCTCTTGGAACCTTCCCCAGAATCTCCTCCCGGAGGTGCTCACCTGCCCCTCAGCTGGGACGTGGCTGTCTTTCCCTCAAAAGCAGGGTGGTAGGCCTTTCGTCACCCTTCCCTCCACTTGGGTCTTCCTTGGCCCTGCCCCCCAGTCTCCTCTTCCTTTATATCCAGGCCTTAGTAGCGTAGTGATGACCTGGGTGAAGTGGGCCACCTCCGCCCTGATGCTCACCCCACCCTTACCTGCCCCAGGGATGATGGAGGTACTGCCCGGCCGATGTGTGCCCATCGCCAAGCGGGAGCTGCTTTGGGCTGGCTCTGCCGGGCTGGCCTGCTGGCTGGCTGGAGTCATCTTCATCGACCGGAAGCGCACTGGGGATGCCATCAGTGTCATGTCTGAGGTCGCCCAGACCCTGCTCTCCCAGGACGTGAGTCACCCTGGGGACGAGGGGGTGGTGCGTATGGAGTAGAACAGTTGTAAAGAAACGGATGGGTAGGGTCAAGGGGCCACAACCGTTCTGCGACCCTCCACGCATGTGTCTTCTTCGGCAGGTGCGGGTCTGGGTTTTTCCTGAGGGCACCAGAAACCACAATGGCTCCATGCTGCCCTTCAAACGCGGCGCCTTCCACCTGGCAGTGCAGGCCCAGGTGATGTTGCCTCCCCTTCTGCTGCTGAGCCCAAGCCCCGCCCCCCTCCTCTCTGGTGGAGCACCACCAGGGCCTCAGAAGGGAGTCCGGGGCTGATGGCTTTTCCCTTCCCCAGGTTCCCATTGTCCCCATCGTCATGTCCTCCTATCAAGACTTCTACTGCAAAAAGGAGCGCCGCTTCACTTCGGGTGAGGCTCTGAGCAGCCCTGGGGGTGGGGACCAGAAAGGTCATGGCAGAGGCTAGGGGGACGTCCCCATAGGGCAGGGCAGTGAGTGTCAGAGCTGGGAAATGTCCACAGGGTCACCTGCCAGGAGGTGATGAAGCACCACCATGAGAGGCCGTTACTGTCGGGCAGGAAAGATAAGGCCTGTGTGTGCGGAGCTGGAACCCTCGGCAGGACGTGCTAAACCCACACGGGGTGGCGGGGGGGGGGGGGGGGGCTGGAAGGGTGCCAGTCTGTGGTTTGAGGAAGGCTTCATGCAGGAGGGCCTCAAGGACCAGGTGGCATTTGGCAGGCAGAGGGGCAGTTGTCCAGGGTCGGGAGAAGAGCCCTAAGAGGTTCGGAGAGGAGTAGCAGGAGCTCAGAAACGGCCCCACACGGGCAAAGGCCTGGGTAGACAGGCCCTGACTGCTCCCCCCTCCCAGGGCGATGTCAGGTCCGGGTGCTGCCGCCAGTGCCCACAGAAGGGCTGACACCAGATGACGTCCCAGCTCTGGCCGACAGAGTCCGGCATTCCATGCTCACCATTTTCCGGGAAATCTCCACTGACGGCAGGGGTGGTGGCGACTGTCTGAAGAAGCCTGGCGTCAGCGAGGCCGGGCTCTGAGTTCCCTCCACCTCCCCCTCCACACGCCTGCCAGCCAGTGGGTTCTGACGCAGGACCAAGCCCTCTTCCTCGTCCCCTCTCCCTACTCAGTCTCCTCTTTGGAGTCTTCAACTTCTGAAGTGAATGTCTCTGCCCCTTCCCAGCTCCCCCCATGGACTCTTGCCTTGGTGCAGTCTCCACTCCGACCCTCCCCACCTCCTGCACCATGAGTCTGTGGGACGGTTGCCTCCCGCTCATCCCCAGTGCTCAGCCTCCAGGCGATGGGAGCACTCCATCCTGTCCCAGGGGACCTCCTTCCTGTGTGGTCTCTCCCTCTCCCCCGACATTGGCCAGTGGACTCATCCTTCTGTGGAACAGCTCCCCCCACCTCCACCCCATGGATTCAGCGGGCTCATCCGTCTGCCAGGAGGACTCCTCTTGCTGTGCCTGGAAGCTGGTGCCTGGAACACCCCCCAGGCTCCTCCTGGGAACACTCCTCAGCAACTCCACCCTCCCTCCCACGGAGCCTCCGTCAGGGGAGGCTGGACTCTTCTCACTCCGAGGTCTCATTCCTGCCGGGCCCAGGTGCCCAGGACTGAGCAACCCCTGGATGCCAGTTCGGTCTTCACATTTCTGCTTCCCCTGTTCCCGTCCCCTCCGCCCTGGGGCACATTCTGGAGACGGGAAGTGCACCGCAGGGGCCGCACTCGGGCTCCCTGGCTGGAGGGGATGGAGGGCTTTTAATTTATTTCTTTCGTTGGAGGTTTCCCCCCCTTTGAGCCAGTTTTCATTTCCTCCCTGTGGCATTAGCCTCCCATCCTCCCATCCCAGACCTGTGCCTACAACAGGGAGGGGCTGGGAGCAAAGGAGGAGGGTGGGACTCCGTTTTTCATGGTTGTTTTTATTAATTATCTGGATAACAGCAAGGAACCAAGAATAAAGATTGCGAGATCTGGACACGGGCTGCCTTGGTTAAGTTGAAGCAGTCCCCGCCCCAGGGAGTCCGCCGAGCCCTCGTCCTCAGTGGCGGGTGGCTTGGCGGCAGCTCCCCAGCTGGCGAGTCCCAGCGGGTGGCGGTCCGGCTTCCGTATAAAGTGGGGCAGCGGGTCCTCACGGCCGCCCGCCGAGGCCCGGGCTCAGGCTGTTGTCCTCACAGGAGCCTGGTTAATGGCAGGAGAAGGCGGGCCTGGGTCTGTGGCCGCCCCGGCGGAGCGGGTGTGAGTCCGGGGGAGACTGGCGCCCCCCGGCCAGCGAGGCCGCGGCGGGCGGTGAAGGGGGCTGTGGGGAAGCTGGGAGCCCGCGGGGGGGGGGGGGGGGGGGACTCACAGGCGCCCAGCCGCTCCTCCAGCAGCAGCACCTGGTCGCTGAGAGAGTCTATCCTGTCGCCCCGGCGCCACAGCTCTGCCACCTGCTCCGGCCGCAGGTCTTCGGGCGGCACGGGCAGCACCGCTCGGACCCAGGCCCCGGCCTGCCCCGCCCACTGCGAAGGAAGACGCCGCGGGTGGAGGGGCGGGGCGCACCCAGCCCCGCGGCGCGGCCCCAGCGCCCAGGCTCACCTGCTCCAGCCGCTCGAGGCGCCCTCGCAACTCCCGGACCTCTCGCCTCAGGGCGCGCTCATCGCGATCCGCTCCCCGGTCCGCTTCCCGGACTGGGACAAGGAGAGCATGACGGCTGCCCGCGGCCCGCCCGCCCGCCGCTCACACCCCCCGCCGCCCGCCGCTCACACCCCCCGCCCGCCGCTCACACCCCCCGCCCCGCCCGCCGCGCCCGCCGCTCACACATCCCCCGCCCCGCCCCGCCCGCCGCTCACACACCCCCCCGCCCGCCGCTCACCCCCGCCCCCGCCCCCGCCCCGCCCCGCCCGCCGCTCACACACCCCCCCGCCCGCCGCTCACCCCCGCCCCCGCCCCCGCCCCGCCCCGCCCGCCGCTCACACACCCCCCCGCCCGCCGCTCACCCCCGCCCCCGCCCGCCGCGCCCGCCGCTCACACACCCCCCCGCCCGCCGCTCACCCCCGCCCCCGCCGCTCACACCCCCCCCCCCCGCCCGCCGCTCACCCGCCACGCTGAGGACGCTGGCGCCGGTCGGGGGCTCCGGGGGCCCCTCCAGGCAGGTGCGCCCGTCCGGGCCCAGCACCAGGCCGCGGGGGCAGCCGCAGGTGAAGCTGCCGGCCGTGTTCAGGCACCGGTGCGAGCAGAGGGCGGCGCTGGCCCTGCACTCATCCACGTCTGGTCACGGGGAGAGGGGGGCTGAGGGGGGCGGGCGGGCGCGGGGTGGGGGTGGGGGGGAGGGCCTGGCGCCCAGAGGGGGCGGCGATCCGACTCACCCACGTGGCAGTGCTTTCCCCCCCAGCCGGGGGCGCACTCGCACTGGTCCGGCCGCAGGCAGGCGCCGCCGTGGAGGCAGGGCTTAGCGCAGATGGCTGCGGGCGGGGGGGGCGTGGGGGGGCGTTTAGACCAGGCCACGGGCTCCCGGCCACCCCGGCGCCCCTCCCCGAGGCCCGGGGAGAGCCAGCTCACCTTCCTCACAGGTGAGCGCCCCCGGGTGCCGCTTCTTCCATCCCTGGCAGCACACGGCGTGCGTCTGCCGCACCTCCCGCCTCACCTCCCGCCACGCCACGCGGTATGTGGTCCTGGAGCACAGTGCCCGGCTCGGACCCTGACGTATGGGTCCTGGTCGGGGTTCTTGGGGTTCCTCTTGAAAGACCCCGGGACCCAAGCTCCCACCCCTCACCTGTAGGTGCTGCAGATGCGCCTGCCCGGGCACAGGGTCAGGTAGGGCTTGTACACGGGTTGGCTGTAGGACTCGTTGTAACGGAGCGGGACCAGCAGCGTCTGCTGGGAGCAGACCCCCTGACTGCGCCCGGGCGGGAGAAGGTGGGGGCACTGAGCGGGCCAGGCCTGGGAGCCCCTTCACGTGGCGGCCCCACCCCCTTTCCAAACTTCGCTGGCCACCCGTGAGGCCCCACCCAGCTTTCCTGAACATCTCACCCTGCCCCTGCCCCCCGCTTGTCACCTCTCTCTGGGGGATCCACCCTTGGACCCGTGGCCGGACGTCAGGAGGAGGAGTGAGAGGCCGCTTAGGAGAGTGCACAGCTCAGCCCGGGACCCCATGCCGCTCCTGACGCCAGACTGCCGCCTGCAGGAAGGAGGTTAAGGATGCCCTTCCCGCCGCAGCCCGCGGCGCCCTCTGAGGGCCACAGCACATTCATTTGCACACACTTGCACCAGTCACCGGGTCGGACACGGGGGCATGTTTACCTAACGGCACCCTTCCTTCAGCACCAGGCTCCCACCCGACACCCTCTCCCTCCCCTCCACACACACTTACCTGCCCTTCGTGACCTTCTGATCTCTAACATCACCTCTTCCACCTTAGTCTTCCTACCTTCAAAACCTTAGGTATTCACCACTACACCCCTCCCCCCTTACACACAAACTCCACACCCTAAACACATTCCTACCACCCTCACACATCACATACACCCCTCACCCAGACAGCACCCCCAACTCACACTCTAAGGCTCCAAATGACCCCCACTTTCCCCATTGACATTCCATGCCCACCTGCCTTTCCCTCTCTCTGGGAGAGTCAGGCCCACCAGCCTCAGCAGCAGCCGCTGGACTGGTGGGCAGGCTGGCTGCTGAGAGGAGGGGCTGGCCACAGAGCCCTCCCACTCCTGCCCCCTCCCACAGCCCCCCCAGAGCTCCAGCTTGGTGTGCTCAGTGGGGTCCAAGTCTCACCACTTGCCCCACCCCAGCAAAGGGCCCCCTAAAAGTATCTTCCCAATTTTCTGAGGCCCCTTCTTTCTGGACCCCCCAAATCAGCAGTGGCTACTTGCTATATAACTACCAATACCCTTGGCCCTAGCCTCCCCCTTAAACCCAACACAGACTGGGGGAGAACTGGGGGGCAGGGAAAGAGCTGGCGGAGAACAGTGTGGGGTCAGGTCACGGGAGAAGAGGCAAGATCAGTTGAGGAAAGAAAGAAGGGAAGTCATCACAGAGGGGCAGGGGCAACCCAGGGCACTAGGGGAAAACGGACCCCACTTCTTGATGACATTTGTCAGGGCCTGGGAGGGGGCACAGTTGAGTCAGCCACCGCCCCCTCTGCCGGAGTAGACAGGGCCCTATTGTCTCTGTCAAAATTCCTCCTTTCAAGGAAGAGGAGGCCCATTGTCCAGCCCCTCCCCAGCTCTGGTCTACAAAGGTTGGAAAGGGGCTCAAGAAATGCTTACCCTGACCCTTAGCCCCCTGGGCTGGCCTGGGGGTGGCAAGGACATTCCTTCCATGAAGCTGGGGCACAAACCACTGAGGCCCTGTGCTCAGCCCCCCAATCTCAGCCTGGGACAGGAAGAGAATTGTCCTCAGCAGGAAAGAACCCACAGAGAATCAGGAACCCACACAGAATGGGCATTGAGAGAGCGGAAACACCAGGGGGTCCCACCCCAGACCATGCATCCGGGCACCCAGGCCTCAGGCTCTCCATTCCCACCCTTTTTGGGGAGCCAGGTTCCCTCACCTGGAAATGAGCCAAGCCACACTGAGGAAATGGAACTTTATTTCCATAAATACAGGGTAACACCCATTTAAGGTTAGCTAAAGGAGGGGCTGGGGCCTCAAAGAAAGTAGGCTCCCAGGAAGTACCCCAACACTGAACATAGGGACTGGGGGATCCCCAAACCTGAGATGGGCCTCGCAGGCCACAGATATTCCCCAACACTGACACTTCAAGAATGGAACTGTACCCATAGGGGAGCCTTGGACCCCGCTCTCATGGGTAGTCCTTCCTGGGGGTGAGAGGGCTGACAATGGGGGAGTTCAGCGGGAACAGAGTAACAGTGTCCTGAGCAGCCTGGGAGGAGACCCCTGTGGTGGGCAGGCTGGGTTCCCCTCCTGCACAGCCGAGATGGAGGAGCAGCCACAAGTTAAAAACCTGGTTTCTCACTTCCCAACCTCAGCCTTGGGAGGATGGGAGAGCATGGAGCCACCCCAAATGAAGACATGAGGTGGGGGAGACCAGGATTTGTCATTCACAGAGCAGAGGAGGGGGTCCTGGGAGCCCTGGTCGGTGGGGGCAGTGTGCAATGACATGGTCACAGGCGCAACGGAGCCTGACATCCGCTTTCCAAGGCCACCACTTGGTCTCTGGGCCCAGGAGTTCCTCGGGACCCCTGGGCATGTCCTCAGGAGAGCCAGGGTTCGATGCAGGTCTCGTAAAGGGTGTGGTTGGAGTGCCAGGCTGTGTGGGCAATCCCCGCCATGGGACACCTCACGATGGCCCCCCGGGCCAAGAGCGTCTTCAGCCCAAAAGAATCCCGAAGATAAACCTTTGAGAGGGTAAAGGGGCATCGGAGAAAGACACAGGGAGAGAGGACGTGAATTCCTGCTGGTGTCTCAGGCCCCTTCCCAGGGTGAACCTCTGAGTTCATAAGTCAGCAGTAGGGAGGGCTACAGACAGCTGGGATGGGCATGAAGAAATCCCAGGCACTCACCAGTTGTTCCTCCATCTCCAAGACCGTCTCATTTGCGTCATAGAAACCAAAGAAGCTACAAAGAGATGGGGGTGGGCCATTATCAGGAGTTGGAGAAAATCAAGGTGGGGTAGGATCCTTTAAGAACTCACAGCCTGTTGGGGAGACAGGCAGCAGGGAGAACACTCAAAATATTTATCTGGACATCATGCACCCCATGAGGTGACGCATGGAAGATACGGCATCACTTCACTGAATTCCCAAACTGAGGGACATTCTACACAATAGATGGTCCATACACTTAAAAAATATCAATGTCCTGGACAAGAGGACTTTGGTAGTAGTCAAGATTAAGAAGCTAAAAAGACATGAAAACTAACACATGATCCTGGGTTTGATCTTACACTGGAATTTTTTTTTTTTCCTAAAAAGACAGCCCAGCCAGCGTGGCTCAGTGGTTTGAGTGCTGACCTATGAACCAGGA